TGTTTTCTACCTCTGCAGACACCTCACAAACTCAAATTTAACTCGCAAATATGCAGAGGTCTTACGTATGACCACGTGAGAGCTTTGATGCGAAAGTCACTAGCTTGGAAGTTGAAAAACTTGGAACTTGAAATTTGGAAGGATGTTCCCCATCCATGTTTTCAAATTTAGCTTTCATGTACCACGTGAAATTTTCAGGGGGGACTTCCTCACCTTGAAGCCGAACAGCATTTCGACTATTTCTCCGCACATGAAAGTAAAACAGTTATATTTTTAGTTGGCTGGACGGGACTGCGCAAAATGTATAATCGCACCGATTACTTGGTGCGCGCCGCTATATTTAATTCTGGTACTATTTAATATGAAATATATAAGTTCGTGAAAGGAACAATTTCGCAGAATGTTATATCATCACTGAATGTCTATCCCCAAGTGGAAGACCATGAAAGGAAATGAAAATAGAGTTACCTCTTTGGCACCCAGCTTCATAACTTTTGGCTTTATCTCTTTAGGTCGTTTCTCTTTCTCTAGTTTTTCTTTTTGCTTTTCTGCAAATCAAGTAAAAACAGCTATGAGATTTTATTAAGGTCAGATGCACTTGAAAAAAAGTGCTTAATCGGCATCGCCACCATAATCTCACTACACTTAAAGCGAACAAAGCTCGCTACATCAAAGCAGGGTGTTGATTTCAAAGTCTCTCCACCTGCTCGATACAATGAGCTCCACTATGTGCACGCACTTGTCATCTTCGCCATGTGTGTGCGCAATTTTCCCGCCAAGTTGCCCAGCAATCGTTTTCCTTCATTGTAACCCACGTCAGTACACGAATGCTACAGTGAGGAAAAACGATTGCTGAAATACTACCGTAGTGAATTGTATTATTGTACGATCGTAGCATTGCTTCAGAAAATCGACGTACCATCACTTTGTTTGTCGTCGGCCGCTGCGTTGCTTTTATTGTCGGTCGCGGCCGGTGCACGTGCAAGTGCAGGAGGCGGTGCCGCGTCTTTTAGCGGTGCCGCATCTTTGGGCATCTTGACGGGTTGCTTCAGCACTCCCGGCGTCTTAGATTGCTGCAATGGCAATCCTATATAATTTTTACCTTTCATTTTTTTTTTTCGTTTCGCGTCCTGTTTATTTATCTGTATTCGCGTCCTGTTTATTTATCTGTTATTTATTTATTTAAATAAACAGGCATATTCTTGTCCTCTTTTTTGAGTACGATAGACCAAATAAAATAAAAAGAAGATGAACAGCTTGTGAATGTGAAACAGTAAACAGATCGAACAATAATTCTGAAAGTTTTTCTTATCAGTTTTTGTGCAGTAAAATAGTTTTCGATTCTCTCCAACTGCTAAGCATCTTCAATCGACTAATGAGGGGCTGCTTCGAATAGCCAGAGCTTATGAGCAACTGTTTCATACAACTAGTGCTTTCCGTATCTGATAAGCTTCTTTGTTTTTACTATCACTGCCAGGAGCCTTTCCGTTTTTATGCGTTTTTACATATATGCAAATGCGAAAACGCATATAGCGACGACCCCGCTGTGCGCGCGTGTGTGTGTGTGTTCGGGTATTCAACTCGGCACCCAAGCAAGCTCCGGCGCCAAAATTTTGCGAGTGGGTTCCCCGGCCAACTGCCACCCCAGGACCGCG